ACACCATATTAAAGGGGGATCAGCATTTTGTGTCTAGTCCTTGATACCCTTTTGGCTCCATATTTCAAAAGAATAGCAAGGAAAGTATGAGCAGGGGCAGACTTGAATCTTGTGAAAATCAGACAAAAGCTGGTGACCAAGAGACTGCTCAGCAAATTGCAGAGATACCCCAAATTGGAAGAAATAATTAACCAATGATTTTGTGTACTTCATGCAGGGTGAACTCCAGCTGGTCTGGGAAAACACTGTGATGATTTACCCTATTTTGCTCTCAACCAGCAAGGGTCTCAGACTCTTAACCACTGATGGTTTTGGTGAATGTTTTGGAGAAAGGGCTCAAGAGAAACTTCATGACACCGAGTGTACTACCTGAGAAGGGAGGTACTAGGGGCCAGGATGATGTCCTAGACACCAGTCTCTTAAAAATATCCGACAGTTGACATCCCCACTATAGGAAATAACTCATTGGTCCCTAAAGCTGACTGAAGGCTCTTATTTAGTTTAAAGGAAGTGTTTGGACCTTGAGTCAAAAATTGTTTATTTGTACCTCCAACTCATTCTCCCATCTACAATTGTAACTCTGCTGGTGAATGACCATGAGCTAGTAAGCCATGACCCAGGAAAGAGGACAACAGTGATGCCTCCCTACCGAAGGAACACCACGGGGCCTTCATCACTTTAACCAAAGGCATGGGGCAGTATCGCCAAGCATACAAATGCTCAACAACTGTCTGGGGCCATGTTGGGCAGGCAAGAAGACGAAGCATTGTGTTCCTTCAGCCACATCTTAACTGTGTGGCATTTGACTGACTTTTCATGTTGATTGAATTGCATTCAACTCGCCTCTCAGCATCAATTCAAACTTATTAAATGGCTCTTCATCTTATCTGCTTTCAACCATCTACTCATCAGCAGACTAGAAAGGAGGCTGGCTCATTTCTTTTTCCTGTCAGTCACCAAAAGGGGTTGGGAGCTTTGATAAGGGCCTGGATGTGGAAGACCCCATAGACTTGAGCCAAGCTGTGAAGAAGGAAGTATCCTGTCTTAAGTCTTAGGAGGACAACGCTGGTACTATTCGACCCACTGGCATTTCCCAAATGCTGCCTAAGGGGTTGTAATTCCTTACAAAAAGGCAGAGAATTCTCTGACCATCAGAACCAATATCTCCATTGCTTTCTATCTCTACCAGCCCAGTCATCCTACAGATCACTGTCAGATTTGTTTTTTTTAAGTCAGAAAGAAAACTGAAAACACCAATGATAGCTATCTTGTGACTGTGACCAATTGCCTACTGAGCAGTCCTTAATGTCCTGAGCCTCAGCAGGAAGCCACTGAATCTATAAAGTCCTGTCCGGCAGAAACGAGTCTGATTGTGGATGGTCTGGTTAACCCAGATTGCCTTAGATGCCTGAGGGAGTTGATATTTTCTCATTATGAAGACTTGCCCATCTAGTGAATGCTACAAATAAAACTGCTCGGAATCAGTCTGAACTGCCTGTTTCCGTGGTAGCAGGCCTCTGTCTGGAGAATAAATCTGCACCATCTTCTTTTTCTTTGGGTTTCAGCCAGTTGTGTGACAAGGAGTTCCGAATGTGCAGTGAGTGACACCCACCAGAATGGGCTCCATCAGTGCGAGAAGGAAGCTGTGTCACCAATGGGACTCGCACCCCTGGCTAGACACCAGCGTCCGGGAGAAAGCGAGCCGAGACAGAATGCACATGCCCAAATATTGATTTCTGTTGTTCATATTTCCCACACTTTTCAAATGTGAACTTGTGTCCTGAAGGTGGAGCTTTAGTACACAGGAAAATTGGAAAGGGGCAAACATGTTTGTACAAAATGGGGCAGACTCAGCACAGAATACATTTATACGCTTCCTAGTCTCCTGCATTTTTTGTGCCAAAAAGCAGGCACAGCTTCTGATTTCCTTCACCATAGGCGCCTGCAGACAATTACATGGGAAGAAAAAGAAGCATGCTTTCAAGAGTGGGGCTTGCGGTCCCAGATTCTAGAACGGTGAGAAACTGTAGCCATCAGAGCCGTTTATACTTCTTGCTGGTGGTATTTTTAAGATGTTTCTGTCTCAGAATGAGGCAGCAATGAATTGAGTAGTGATCAAAATGCTGCACCATAGAGTGTGTTTAATCCAAATAGCTCCCAAGATGGTCTGCTATTCGTTGTCGCAGCTCCGCAGGACTTAGAGAAATTACGTGGTTACCAGTGAAGTAAAACTATCTCCAGAATGGAATTGGACTGTTGCTTCTCAGCACATAACAGCCCTGTCACGGCAGGTTCACGGCGGCGGCGAAGACCCTTGTGTTCTTCATCATTCACAGGGAAAACTGCCAACATGTCCACAGCGGAAATCCCCTCCTAGGCTGTGAGGGCTTCGGTGAGTTTCTGCAGATGTTTCGCAGGTACTACGTTTCCCATTTCCAGCAGGGCAGAAGTTCTTAAAACATTTCAGGTGGGCAGGGAAGGGGGGAGTGAGGCCTGATTATCTCGGAGCAGAGAGAGCGTCTGATGTGCGCATCTGATGTGCCTTACGGACGGTCTCCTGACTAACGTCAGCCTGGGGTCCCAGGCCTTTTCCCTCACTCCTCCACTCTCCCCAGCGCCCCGGCTGCCACCACCACCTCCGCACAGCTCATGGGAAAGTATTTCCAGCCCACTGGCAGGCAGAGATAATGTCATCCAATCTCAGACAAGGAAATTATGAATGGGACAACGACCACTCTGAATTCAGAATATGAAAGCCACCGCTGGGATGATAGGATCCTTTAACTGCACAGCAAGGCCAGAAAGTTTTGTTTCTCTTCTCCTTCCTGCCTCACCCCACCCTCTCTTCCTCCAGCCTCCCCGAGCTCCTTCTCCTGCCTCATCCGCCAGCACTGGGGAGAACCTGAAGCGCAATCGCAGAAGCTGGAAACCTACAGCAGCAGCTCCTTCAAGAGGGTTCAGCATCTGGAGGAAACCTACTCGCCCCATTCCCCACCGCAAATAGAGTCCATCTAGACTTGGGGAGCCAAGAGGGGAAGGAATAAAGGCGATGCAACCAGCTACTCTCCCTGGGCCCCCTGTGGCCTGGAAGTAGCCAGGGAAGGGACAGAGATCTTTTTGCAAGGATGCATCGGGGTCCTCAGGAGCGCCCCTGACATATCCCCTGGGTCATCTGCCAGACTTGAAGTGTGCTGGTGGTGCCATCAGGTGCCTCAGGAAGCTGGGAGGCATTTGTGCATCCTCTGAGAAATCATGAACCTACACCCAGGTGTGCGGTGATTCGGAAATTCATTGTGCTCCAGAAATTCTTGGTGGCTTTGGGGCACCCCTGGGTGAGTTGGTGAGACCTCAGAGGGCCCAAAGAAAAGAAGTAGGAAAGGATGAGACAGAGGGAGAGACTCTAGGGAATGAAGGGTACCTGGCTCTAAAATTAGAAGGCTGGGCTGGGGAGCATTTAACTTGGGGAACTTCGCAGTCCCACCTGCTGAAAATCATCTCGCAGCCTTATCCGATCGGCCACAGGTGGCACCTGGCTAGAGCGGGATGTGTAAGCAGCCCGGCAGCTAGATAAGGATTGGAATCTCACCTCTCCTGTTAACCAGCAGTAGGACCCCGGTGAGTTCCATAACCTCACCATGATCATTCTCACTACTAAATGGGGATGATGATAATAACAGTCACTAATTAAAAGCGTTATTAGGGTATTAAATGAGTCTTAATCCATGGGGCAAATTTGGAACAGTACCCGGCACATAGTAAATGCTCAATAAATGTTAGCCAGGATCATTAAGGCTAGATGGTGAGTAGAACTTTCTAAGCTCCAGGTCTGGGAGCCTGGGACTCCGTTGCCAAGGGAGATTAGAGAACCTTTTCAAATATGGGAGCTCTGGCCCCGGGGATTGTCCAGAACCGGAGTCTCGGCGCCTGTCTTTCCCCCACCTCACTCCTCTGACCCGGGGAAACTCAGGCCCTGTGGCAGGGACGCCTCGGTCCCCCGAGCCTCCGGCTCGTCCACGTCTCCCGCGCGCCTCCCCAGGGCCTCCCTCCCGCCGCTCCACACCTGTCAGCCGCCCTGCAGCCTCCCTCTGGCCTGAGCCCTGGGCCTCAGCTGCAAACCCTCGGCGCCCTGGGTCCTCGCTCCCCCGTGCCTGGCGCACCCCCCGGCTGCTCTCATAAACAAAACCCGAGCGTTGGAGCGGCCCCGCGGGCAGACGGGCGCGGGAGCCCGCTCGGCGTACTGCTAGCGCGCCCCGGGAGCCCGGGGAGAACCAAGGGGCGATGGTGGCGGCCACGGCGGCAACAGCAGGCGGCTCAGCTTTGTTATGAATAGATGAAAGAGGCCACCTACACAGTAACCCAAATTACGAGACCTTCCTCCTCCCTATCTCGCCGAATCAAGAGGGGAGGGGAGATGGGCGTGGAGGGAGGGCGGGCGGGCGGGCAGGAGGCGGAGGGCGGAGGAGGAAGAGGATGAGGAAGGGGGCCAGTTGCATCCCACTTTCACAATGGGAAAGTGAAACGCACAAGCGCACCCAACCTCTCCAGCCCTCCCCGCCGGCCTCGCTCCCCTCCGCGCGTCCCCTCCCTTACCCTCCGCGCCTCCCCGCGAGCGCCAGCGCTGCACAGAGGAACTCTCCGGAGAAGCAGGGCGAGGAGGAAGCGGCGCCGGAGCGCGCAGGGCTTGCCGCCGCCGCCACAGCCGCCGCACAGGCTGCCGGAGCGACCCCGCCGCGTGCCGCC